GTGGGTGAATGAGTGTATGGGTGGGTGATGGGGTGTCGTGTGTGGGTCTTCAGGATCGTGAGCTCGTCGACGAGACGTCGGGCTGATGCGTCAGTCCGGTGATATGGATGAGAGTCATGGATGGATGGTGGATAAAGAAGCCGTTATATCTGCAGAAATCCAATAAGCAACTGCTCGAAGGGTCCATAAGATGAGGCGCCGTACCTTAGGCGATAACGCAGTAGCTGTAAGTGCCCGATGCCTTCTTCTCGGCATCGCTGAGCTCGAAGAGGATGTCATCATCCGAGACGTTTGTCGCCGGAACTTCGGTGGCTTGGGCAGGAGAAGAGGCGGAAAGGAGGGAAGCGAAGCTGGTAAAGGCGTCCATGGCAATGTCGTTGAACGAGTGAAGGTGCTGCTCGTGTATAATACCGCGAGGGTATTCTGCCAGTAAATGTGGGGGGGTGGAAGGAACAAAATCCGCTGCGCGACCATCCTCGTTTCGATGGCATTATATACCTCCCAGGAAGGAACAGAAATTTTGTGTTTGGACCTTTCGTTGCCATCGTCGCATAATTAGCGTCTGAGAACAGTACAATTGGGCACCCGTCGACCGTGTCAATTCTTCCACCCACATCTGCCAAAGTCATTTCCCGGATCCAGGTGGTCTGTCCCATAAAAGGGAACCACCCGAAGGATGGACAAAAGATCCAAAAGGGGAACTGCCGCGGGAAGGCTCTAACACACCCACGTCCTTACCCGCTATTGTCTTTTGGTATGAGGTGACTCGCGTCTGTTGATACCCATGTCCGACACGAGGTTCGGTGTGATCGATCGCAATGGCAAACGTACATTGTCAAGATACTGTGGGGGAAGCTCTCATTCTCGCGGCGGAATCTTGGCGCATCGCAACATTGTCCAGCATTGTCCACCCTTTGAACGGCTGTGTCTGCGATGATAACCATATACCTCCGAGAAAACTTTGATAGCACACGATAAATTACCGGAGTTGAGGCCTTGAGGAGCATTGGGAACATTGTGCTATCGATAGTCCGTTCTCTATAATATTATTTAACGGAGATGTTGGTGAGCAATTAGAATTTAGACTTACCTGCCCTCGAAGAAGGAAAATGCTTTCGCAAGTGATCCAAAGTGTCAATGGTGATCTGAGGTTCATTACGAACTTGAAGAATTTTCAGGTTGCATACTCGGACGCTGGGCGAGTTTCACGGTCGACGACTAGCGACGACTGGAGCTGAACAATTGAAGTCGTTGGCAAAGCAGCAGGTAGAAAGACGACTTTTGCCGATTCTGCACGGGCCGCTCTGACCGTGACCTCAAACTCAAGGTTCAACCAAGATATCTCACTTCAAAGACACGACCCTGTCAGCTAGGGGACTCGACAGCATTGAAATTCGTCTTACCGACGCCTTGAAGGCCCTCAAACAAGTTTAGTCGATTCTCGAGCGATGGCATCCATAGTTGCTTCTAGGCCAGTGCAGCGGCTTACACCACGCCACATATACAAGACAGTACGCGAAAGAGGCTCTTGTTGGCTGAAAACCCACCTGCTATACGCCGATCCTCACCTTATCGTGCTCAACAAGCCTCCGAACGTCGTATGCCAAGTGCATCATAATTGGAGCCGGACGGAGGTGCGAGCCCTTGACTAGATTGCATTTTGCCCCTCTCACAATTGCCAGATCAAGGACGACCTGAACCCCGTCTTTAGAGGTCAGTTTACGTGAACTTTTGGGGCGTAACGTCGTAACCCAGCTCATAAAGATATCAAGGCCTGCCTGCCTTCTCGTTGGAAACCATTACAAGTCCATCGCCTCGACAAGGTGCGTGTCTTCTTGGGCCCATATTGTTTTGCTCAATCGTACACCAGGGAACAACGGGATGCCTTCTAGTTGCTTTAAACCCAGCCGCGGCGACCTCTCTATCTCAGCAATTCCGACAGAGGACGGTATACAAGTCGTATCTGGCTCTTGTTCGAGGCGGCGAGAAGTCGTTTCCTGAAAAGTCTGGCGGCATCACCGACTCACTCATATACGAAGATGGCCGGGGAAGACTTTGTACCAATGGTCTCGACCCAGACCAGAAAACGGCGATCACTGAATGGGAGCTTCTTGCGTCCTCTGTAAGCAGAGTTTACGGCTCAAATATATGTGTTGCTCACGCATGCTATACGCAGCCTGAAGTACCCATTTCTTTGGTCAAACTGAAGCTGCTGACTGGGAGCAAACATCAACTGCGGATACACCTTGCTCTGAGCATGAAGAGTATGTGGTGGCTGCATGACGACCTGGAGGCAAGCTCACTGATTTAAACAGCGCCAATCCTCGGGGATACGTTGTATTCGGCGTCTCCCGTAGCGGACTCGATTACATGCCTGACGGAGGTTCCAGAGGACCGTATCTTTTTGCACGCGTCCGAAATATCACTCTTTGTGCGTCGTCGCTATTTTGACTTCAAAGTACGTGGCTGATCTTGAGCAGAGATACACGCCCAATGGAAGGCAGTTTCGTCTAGGGGTACGCTCTCCGCTTCCACCTGACTTCCAACGAATATGCCTGGACGTTGGCATTGTCCCGCCCAACGACATCGACAAGAAAGCTCTTCTTGTCCCCGAAGACAAACTGTCAAGGTATCCAGAGCTTCATGAACTGGGACTCTGGGACCAGTCCCTATAATCAATTCGAATCTGCTATGTTACAATGCGAAATGGGACTGGAATGAGACGATGGTGTAATAATGAAGATCGAAATAATAATACTCGGTATGCGAATGCGATGTTCAAAATCAAGTGTGAATGGTCTCATAAAGCAAACCACTAGCACATCAGGAATAACCATTCCTTCGGGCCATTACTTGTCGCCGCTGCCATTGCTAGTCTCTTGCTTCTTCTGCGATTGCTGGACAGTTGCGCCCAAAGCCTGGCCGACACCAACAGCGATAGCACCGATGGCATGTGCGGTGGTGGAAGCAAGAACAGCGCCGCCTGCTCCAGCAGCGATGGCCGGGATAGCTGGGATGGAGCCAGCAGTGATGAGGATGGCACTGATGATGCTCATGGTCTTGGGATGCTCGGAAGTGATAAATTCGAGGGCGGAGCATGCGTTCAGCAGCCATGCAGGCGCCTGCGTCTCAGTCGTGATCACTGCAAAGTAAGTGTTAGTACCGAATTATACGTGCAACAGCTTTGAAATGTGCTCACCTTCGCCGTCCGTCTGCGACCGTTCATGAGACCTGTTCTTGCCCCGGCCATTCCTCGTGGCCACCGCGCTGTCCGATTTGGCCTTCTGGTGCCCTGGCCGCTGTGGGAGCTCCTTCTCCTTCACTTTGCCTGCCGCTTTCTCCGTGCCCTCTTTACCCTCATTAACGGTGTTCATCCGTACAGGCCAGAACCCGGACCTACCTCCGCTAGTCCTCTGCGAACCCGCGAGGCTGGCTTGCGACGAGACGGTTGCAGAGCGTGTGGGTCGCCTGCGGAGGAGGGTCTTGGAAGCACCTTCCGTGACGATCTCCTCCGGCTCTTCGACAATGGGCTTCTTCGTGATCCGGATTGTGTTGTTGCGAGACGGCGCTGGCCGCGGCTTGCGAGCCTCGGTGGCTGCCTGAGGTGCAGCATCCTTGGAGTCGGTGGTATCCTTTTTACGGTTGAACCACATTCCGCGGCCTTGGACCTTGATCGTCTCTTTCGCATCCTTGTCGATCGTCCCTGTCGATTGATGCCGTTAGATCAATGGATGGAGAGGCGATTAGATGAAGACTTACAGCCCATGTTCATCATTGCAACTTTGAATTTTTTCCAGGTCCAACGATACTTTCCGCCGTGGACCTTAGCGATGACTTGCTTCAACTCGACCAGACTATCAAAGAAGATTAATATTCAATTTTGTCATCCAACAAATCAAACCAGCTTACCGCGCCTTTGCCTTCGGTCCCATGAAATGCTGAGCGACTTTGTACCAGTATTCCTCTGGTACACCACGTTGGACACAACCTTCCCTAATTTTCTCCAACCACTCTTCAACGGGAAGGTCCTTCTTGGTATTGCCTGTGAATACGGGTCCGTCCTTCCACTCCTCGAAGATAGGTTCGAGGTCGAACTCCTTCATCTTGAAGGCGTTTAGAACTGCAGCCATCCTGAGCGCTGTGGAGAAGCCTGAATGGAAAGGCGAAAATGCTACGGAGAAAATCGGTGGTGGGGGGTATGGTGTGCGTGAGGTGCGTTCACACTGGGTGGCGGACCGTTATTTAAGCGATTAACACCTGTGGCCCAGTGCACCTTCGCCTCATTGTTGGAGGGTGGCCACCAAGTCCTGGCTTTGTTCGTCCAATGATGATCAGATGTGGCTTCGCCCATATCGCTGCAGAGCGCAGCCGGAAATGCAGGGTTATTTTCCGACGGCGTTTAGTCCTTTGCCTCGAATCTATGAAACACGCTGCAGAGGTGAAGCAGGTCGTGCGCGTGTTGACCGTTGCCCCTCTCAGTCTGCGCGCCCCTTGGTTCAGTCCCTTCAACGCGCCTACCGACCAGTGACATACTTGGAGAGCTCGCACGAACTGTAGGCAATATTTCGAAGCAGTGCGCTGAAACGAGGGTATCATATTTTTTCCATACATGCCGAGCTTACTCACGCACACGTTCCAGGTCCCATATTCGCCGTCAGCGAGGAAGTGAAAGTGGAGCCTGTCAGGCTTGACTTGCGGACCTCAGCTTGAGCATCGAGTGAAGGAAATCTGAAGGGTTGCCCTGTCCTCAAGTTTTCAGATCGGGTTATCGACATTCTTCCAGGAAATCGTAGAACGCAAGGAAGTGACCATCGAGTAGAAATGGAAGGTCAGAAGAAATCCGACCTTATCAAGGTTAAGAAACTGAAATACTTACTTCACACCTAGGACTCCATTCGCCAGAGGTTCATCGACCAAGTACCTCTCTTGCCTCATTTTTGCGGCAAGGCACTTACTCATGCTTGAGCAGGTGTCCCGCTTATTAACATCCGCCTACTGCTGCATCGTAAATGGGGTTGTATCAGGACATAGAATGGGGGCTCCGTCGACTCCGGCCTGCAAACCTCCGAGGGTTGGTTGATTGACTGAGATCGCCGGCCTGGACCCCTTCGAGAACTGCTGGCCCGTATGAGAGAGATCCATCGACGGCGCGCGGTCTGGCAAAACAACAGCGAATGGCACTGTCCTACGATGGAACTCCGAAGCTGCGCCTCAGAGTAATTTTCATTCTCTTGGGTCTTGTTGCCCCATACCCAACGTCATTGACTCTCGATGCGACCTCCGTCGGAGAATTCACCGCGGAAGGTAGGCCATGTCGCGCTGACCTGAGGAAAAGTCCATGCAGCATCGGCATGCCATGAACCGAGACGGACACGATGCAAGGCGGTGCGGTCCTGCAACTTGCTGATGGACCTGGGTTGCCTGTGAGGCGCTGGTTGAACATGAGGCTGCCGCTCAGCACTGCCCGCAGGATTCGGCTCAGAGAGACCGATGTTTCGGAGCTCTTCCAGGAGGCGCGTAGCAGAATCTAGCTGTTCCATTGGTTTTCGGGGGGCCTGATTCGCATTGCCTGGAACTTCGATATGACATTGAACAATTGAGATTGAACGGATGCTAAACGAGAGATTCGCGAGCCAAAATTAATGGTCGTAGAAGAGAGGTCGTGGTTGCTGTTCGCCGTTGAGATCTGAGACATCGTCGATAGATTTGACGTACAGAATTCATGAAATTTTATGTTGCTGGATTACTGTCGGATAAATAGCGGGTAGGGAAAGAGTG